CCTCCACTCTTCTCCCTCCCCTACTTCCTCTCAGTGGTACTGGAATTGAACCCAGAACCTTCCCACAGACCTGCATCCTTATCCCTTCTTATATTTTGAGACAAGTTCTCACTAAGTTGCCCAGGCTGGGTTCAAACTTAGAATCCTCCTGCCTCAGCTTTCTAGAGTACTAGAAATACAGGTGTGCATCACCACTCCTGACTTGCTGAGTTCTTCTATAAACCTAAAAGTGCTCTCAAAAGATTAAGTCTGGGATTAAAAAAAAATGCAGTAGTCCTAGAGATACCTTCCACCCTCCACCAGATACCTCAGGATTTCTGGGCTGGGACCCAAGAGAGTTCCCAAACCTATCCAGGTGACTCCAGCAGCTACAGTGCTGTTCTGTGTGACTGGTCCCTGTGTGCCCCGGGGCTCTGTAGGGCACAGGTCTCACTGGGCACACATGACCTCCAAGCAAACACTGGTCTTTTTTGGGGGGGGGGGGCGGTCTTTGTCTCTTTGTGCATAAAGCACAGACCTGCACACAGCACATAAACAGCAATAGATGGCCCCTGTGGAATTAAACTTGGAGGAGGACAATTAGGGGAAAATGCCCAGAACAGCTTCTGAGAGGGCTGTGATGAAAAGAAAGATGAATCTATGTGTGTAGAAAGATACCTGTGGCAGGTGAAGGTCAAGAGAGACACCAGTGTGTCTAGCACACTGTGAACCAAGGGTTCCACTGCTTTAAAAAGAAACGAAACTTGAACCCCTAAGGCTCCCATCCATCCAGGGCCCAGGGGCCCCACCCTCCACACCTTGATGACTTCATGGGGGCAGCAAGGGTCCTGGGGTTTCCATCAGGATCCACCGCGTAGGAATCCACTGACCCTGTCACTTCTGTCTCAGATGCTCATCTACAAAATGGCCCAACCCAGGCAGCACCGAGAGGCACCCATGAGATGATCCTGCAAAGGGTTTAGCACAGAGTCCAGAGTGGGACAAACCCTCACGGGACGCGGGTTCCTAGGCCGATCCGTCACTAGGTAGCATTTCCCCCAGCTTCGGGAGCCGCAGTTCTCAGGTGCAGTGTGGTTTTACCGACTGTCACAGGAACAGAAGGCTGCTGCCGACACGACAGCCCACGCCGATGAGTCCAGAGCTGCCCACAGCAAACGTGTGCATCTGAGGACGCAGCTCCTCCCTTTGCAGCCATTCTCGGGCTCGTGGGGGATCTGAAAACAGCCGAGCTGGGTGCACAGCAATGTAAAGCTCACCGTCAGATTCCGGGTCACCCTTGCCTCTCCTGCACACCTGGTCACCGCTGGGCCTGCCTGTCTACCTCCAGCTCTCAGTCTCCACTGCTAATGTGCACGCACAGCCTACGGCTGCCTGCTCCACGAAGCCATGGGTATTCCTATGTCCCTATGTCCCGGTAGCAAAACTGAGGCTTGGCAGGATTAAGCAATAACCCACGGTCACACCCCTAGCTAACAGTGGAGCTGGGGCTTGAACTGGAATTTGTTTGCAAATTGTCTATGGACAGTGGGGACAGCAAAGCCCAGCCTTCCCGCCTGGATGCGTCTCACCCCCTTCATTTTCTCAGAGAGTGAAACTGTTCTGAGTTTCTACCCATCCCTGGGCAAAATACCCATAATTACAAAAATGCATGCCTATAATATCAGCACTCTGGAAGGCTGAGGCAGGAGGACTGCAAGTTTGAGCCCTGTCTCAAAAATTAAAAAATAAGGGCTGTGGGTATAGCTCAGTGTGAAGGCCTTGGATCCAATGCCCAGTTGCACAAACAAACAGACAGACAGACAGATAAAACCTTTTTGAAGGATCACATGGTCTCCGCCAAGCTTCAATACAGGACAGAGCTTGGAGGAAAATTTTGTTTCTCTCCATTTTTAAAGGTGAAACATGATCCTTCACCCCCTAGGGAGCTAAAAACCCAGCTGGCTGGACAGTCACTTCCAAATGATGGATTCCGTGGCCTCCTTGCCATCTGGTCCTGATTCCACAGGGGTGCCTCGTGCTGTGACCCCCTCCCTCGGGCCCCCAGCCTCCCTGCCTTCTGCCCTCTCTTGGCAAGCTGGTTGCTCAAAGACACTTGGCTGGTGAGTCAAGGTCATCCCAAAGGGAGTGGCATCCGTATGTGTGAGTTCGGAGGAAACAGGGGACTGGGGCAGGGGGGAGTCTGAGCTGGAGGAAAGCGCCAGGTGGAAGGCACAGCCATTCTGCTGCAGGGAGACCTGCTAGGGGATCAGGACCGCTGGAGGGAGTGGACGGACGAGCTCCAGAAGGCCCAGAGGCAGCTGGCTGGACACCCGGGAAGGACATGTCTTTCTGGGTTTTGCTCAAAGCTCAAGCCCCACAGCAAAATCCAGAAACCTCCACCTGCCCCAGACCCCACCCTTACATCTTGTTCAGGCCACTGTGAAGACAGCTGATGAGGGAGGCCCCAGATGCAGGGCTGGGGAGACAGCTCCCAGGGGGCCCTAACCCTGAGCCGGCACAGTGCTCCCGGCCTACATGATCACCCCGTTTAACCCCAGCACTGCTTGCTGGGCTGGTGTTACAATTTCCATTCCCAGCTAGTAAAACTGAGGCCCAGTGGGGCTTAGTGATTTACCCAAGGTCACACAACTGGTCGGCAGAGGAGCTGGGAATTGAACTCAGATGTATGGAGCTAAATGCCACTGCGCTGAGAGCTCCTTGGAGGTGGGGACAGAAGCTGAGTCACCTGAGTCACCTAATACAGAGCTGGCATGCAGCAGAGACACAATCTGTACACAGAAGGCAAATGAACAGACACACTTATGGTGGCTGCTTATGTTCACCACACCGCATCTCCTTTGCTGCGGGACATGCAATGAAACGGTTTCCCCGCCTCCCCTGCAGTTAGGTGGATCCTCTGCTCAGTTCTTGCCACGAGAAACAAGGCCAGCATGACAGGTGCTACATGTGCTCGGCCCACAGAAGCATCCTGCAGAATCTTCCACCTCCCCTCACCTGCCTGGATCCCCGAGTGGCCCTGGGGAGCACAGCACACTGAATTGCGACCTGAACAGGAAGCTTACGTTCATGATAAAGCAAACATTTATGACAACAGTCAGTACATCCCAACTTGTCACACACACAATGCCCCAAATAAGGGCTGTGCCTTCCAGAGCCACTTCACCACCTCCACAGCACTACACAGGGGAGTCAGTCTAACCTTAAACCCCCTCACCTCTGAGCAAGGGAGCAGAATTCAGTTCTGGCCTGGAACGCGGCGTTGTGATTGACAGCAGCTTGAGCGTCCACACCAAAGTCAACGGCTCCTCCTCGGCGACTCCATCAGAAGACAATGTCCCCACCCAGGCTCAGGGCATGGGGGAGCCTCAGCTGGGAAGAAAGAGCAGCACACTCTGCTCAAGCCAACAGCTGAGCTCTAGGTCCGGGGCAAAAACCAGCATCAGCCCAGCCTGGGGACAGGTACCTGTGAGGAGTGGGCAGTGCCCAGGGCCACACTGTGCCGGATTTCCCTGCGCTGGGATCTGTCGTGGTGCAAACCCGTGAGGTGCAGCATGACCTCCTGGGTAACTTTCAAAGTGGCCTTGACCTCTCTCTTCTTAGCCTCGGTGTGCAGGAACAAGAAGCACTGAGCGAAGTCACTGCCCATCTCTACGTGATGGCAGAAGCCACCCTTAAAGCCCAGCAGTCAGGAGACAGGATCGATGGGGTAAAGCACCACCCACACTAGTCCAGTCACAGGGCAGGAAGCAGTCACAGGCACACCCGGGACCTTCCCAACAAGGAGGCTGGTGGGGTGTGCAGGTAAGAGTCAGTCTCCTCCAAAGGGGGCCTGGTAGTCATCCATTTTTCTCACCACTGGATTCCCAAGAATTAGGTTCTGACACACTCATTTTTTTCATATGTTACCATCCAATTTCTCAAAATTCCGTTCCTTTTGTTATTTTAAAGTATTGTTCAGTTTTGATTTTTAAAAGAAAAAGAAGTCTGGACAATTGCATTTTCATAACATTCCCATGGTGACCACCACCAGCTAACACGACCCAGTTTCTACCATCTTCACTATCGCTACCTGCACGTAAAAAACCGAGGCAGCTGTCTACAAATGAAGAAAAAGACATCAGTGTAAGTATTTGATAGTAAAGAATGTGAGCTGTCTAAAGTATCCCAAGGATGGCCTATACTGTTATATATTTGCCTTCATTCTTTGTACAAAGAACTCTTACTTCATTGGAATTTCAGTCAGTGTTCAAAGAATGGAATTTTCTACCCAAACCCAAACTTACAACTTGTACTTCAGCCACACATCTTCGAAGTACGGCTTCAGTATGAGATTCAGGACACCTCTCCTTGCTTTTTTTTTGTTTCCAAACTGAGTGGCTTGCTTTCTAGTTAATAAACTTAGAACTCGCTTGGATTATGTTGTTAGGTAACATTTAGTCTGGTTATCTATTTTGATGGTGACACAATAAATATTTGGACAAAGGCAGAATCACTAGAGCTTGAAGCCACAGGGTCAAAGTCGAGATGGAGTGGGAGAAGGTGTAACTCACAGGGTGGCAGTGGAATAATACCCACTGCCTGGTGAAACCCACGTCCCAATTCCTGGACCCTGTGGATAGGCTGCCTTCCATGGAAAAAAAGATTTTACATATATGGGTCGGCTTAAGGCCCTTGAGAGGGGGAGATTATCCTGGATTATCTGGTGGCTCAATGTCTTTATGAGAAAGGATTTAAGGGTCAGAATCAGAGAGACTAGAAGCAGCCACGGTTGGCTTGGAAGACAGAACAAGACCGCAAGTGGCTTCCAGAAGCTGGAAACCCTAAGGGAGCAGTTCTCCTTTCTGTCTTTAGAGGAACTTAACTCTGCTGACACCATGAGTTTAGTGAAGTGAACCTATTTTGGAATTCTGATTTCAAGAACCATGAGAAAAATTTGTGTCATTTTTGAGGAACTTGAAACAGCAGCAGTAGGAAGCTAATACACATAGTCCATCGTTTATTCATCCAAAACTATTTAGCCAAGTACACAGTGGGACACAGGGGCAGCTATTCCTCGCTGTATTGACCGAGTTGTAAACCCACCTTGTGACAGAATTGTATCACTGCTGGAACTCTTCAGACAAAGGAATCCAGAACTCTGTTTTGGAGCCAGTATGATAGGAAAGAAAGAGCCCAACAGAGGGGAAAAATGTGTGTCAATAAGCACAGTTTTAGAAAGGGCCCGCTTCCGAGTTCCATTACATCATGATGCGACCTGCTCGGTTTCAGCCTGTCCTTGTCAGCTTGGATTTGAGGCCCAGTGTGGTCAGATCTTCTGATTTTTTTTCTTAGAAACAGCAGAAACCTGGGTTTTACTCCCAGTCTTCCAATTTTCAATGCTAACAATTAATTTAAGTAAACATTTCGATCCTAAGCAGGCCAAACAAAACACATCTGCCCGTTGGATTTGGCCCAGGGAGCCGTCCTGCAATCTCCGGTTGAGGAAACTGCAAATTTGTCCCCTGGGAGCCGCATCTGCAGGTGCTGTGGGCTGACATCCCGTTCCGCGTCCTTGCAAAGCTCTGAGGACTTGCTGCCCAGCCTCCAGGGGCCACTCACAGCCTTCTCTGGCAGACAGGAAGTGAGGCCGAGAAGGGACGGCTCTAGGGTGCCACAGCTGGCCCAGCCTCACCCACCTTCCAAGACAAGGGAAAACACCACAGGCTTTTGTAGGGATAGGTACACCGTGGGTGCTCAATAAGTGCACGAAGCAGAATGATGTGACCGGCAGATCTCTACCCTAGAGAGGCTGTGCTGAGGCCATGGCAGGTGTATTTCCCACACTCGGCATGACATCGCATTCACTTCCACCCTCATAGCCACTGCTGAGGGGTGAGCACTGCTGCCCTGCTGTATGGACGAGGACACTAAGGACCAGAGGTATGAAACCATTTGCCAGGGACACATAGCAAGTGTGCGCTTCCTGCCTAGGAAGCTAACTGCCAGGCCCTCTAAGCCAAGAGTTGGCAAACTCTCGCCCACAGGCCAAATCCAGACTGCTTTTGTAAATAAAGTTTCGGTTTGGTTTGGTTTTTGGTACTGGGGATTGAACCTAGGGCCTTTCCAAAGAGCTACATCCCAGCCCTTTTTTATTGTGCTTTTGTTTTTGTTTTTGTTTTTGTTTTCAGACAGGGTCTTGCTAAATTGCTAGTTTAGGCTGGGCTGGAACTTGTGATCTTCCTGCCTCAGCCTCCCAGTGTGCCAGGATCATAGGTGTGCACCGCCATGCCTGGCTGGAATGAAGTTCTATTGCAGTGATGGCGAACCTTTTAAGGCTTTCAGCGACAATAAGCAGCTGGCTGCGGCACATGTGTCATAGCTTCACCAGCGCTGTCCTACTGATCACAGACACACCGCTCATTAGCCTACGGTCTGTGGTGCTTCCATCCTAAACAGCAAAGCCGAGTCATTGTGACAGAGGCCAGGGGCCTGCAGAGCCTGGAAGTCACTGTCTGGCTCTTTTCTGAGAGCGAGCCGACCTTGTGCTGGGTGACGCTAGACAATGGGTTTCACTAGCAGGGAGGCAACACCCGATTCCTTAAGCACCTCTCCTGCGTCAGTCATGAGTATGGAGACCAACAGAGCAAACAGATTGACCCAATCATCACACAAAAGCTGAACTGGGATCAAGGACGGCACTGGAGGCCAAAGGTCTGGGTGCTGAGGGCTAGGAAGGGGAGGGGGCGTTGAGGGGCTTGGGGTTTCCCAGAAGTTTCCCAGAAGTTGCAACAACTTGCACTTAACCCAAAATGGCAAGCAGATGGGAGGGAAACAGGCAAAGCTGGAGAGGGGAGCAACTCCAGGCTCAGAATATGCAAAGGTCCTGAGGCAGGAAGAACTAGGCAAGAGAATGAAGAGGGTAGATGGCACCAAACCAAGCGGCAGAGAGTCAGCAAGCCCAAAGGGTCAGGACTGCAGCTTCCAGCCCAAGAGAAGCTGTGAGAGCTTTAGGTGAGGGGCTGACGTGCCCAGGAGCCTCGTTAGACTCAGTGAGGGATTCTAGCTTGGACTGGGGCCATCTGGGGGCACGGCTCTGGGGCCTTCTCACTTACGTAGCGCTGAGTTCCTGCAACCAAGCATCCCTCCAGGCTCCTTGGGACGGCCTTGCTATCGTAGGGGCGGGTCAGGCCTGCGCAGACCTGGGAACAGCCACACACTGCAGAGCCGGTCAAGAGACGGGCAGAGGGACTGCCCTGCTCCCGGCCGCCTCCCCAGCGGCCACTCACATAGGGGTACCTGGCCTGGCAGCCCAGGACTACAGTCTGCAGCGTCTCCTCCTGGCCATTCAGGACCAGCCTTGTCTCCAGGGAGTAATGCCGGTGCCACCTGTCCGTGGTGAAGGTCCCCTCCAGCAGGAGGCTCTGCAGGATGGGCAGGTGCCAGGGGTGCCTGGCATGGAGAGGGAAAGACGGGCCAAAGCCTTAAAACACATGGCAGGGCTGGGCACAGCCGGGCCACACAATCTCAGGCTGGGCCTGTCCCATCTCAGGCTGGGCCTGTCCCAAGCTTGCAGAGCAAAGCTCACAGAGAGGAGAAGATCTGGACCCAGCGCAGCCCTGTGCTTCAGGATTCTCCGGTAGACCCCAACTTGCCGGCTCTCTTGTAAAGGTTGATATGTTGTGTCCACTTGAAAAGTTTAGACATTTAACTAAATGGCTCAGCAGGGAGCCAGGTTCCTCACTTTGTAAACATCCTCATCCTGTGCAAGAGGAGGACATGGAGATGGTGTGCTACCTACACCCGCCCTAGGGGGTGGTAGCCCGTGTGCAATAAAGGGAGGGAAAGAGGCTTGCTCTTCCCCGTTTTGCTCTTGCTGCTTTTGCTGCCTCCTGCTGCCTCCTGCCGCCTCCTGCCGCCTCCTGCCGCCTCCTGCCGCCTCCTGCCGCCTTCAGCTGCTGCCCCTGTGCCCTGCTCCCCTGCCAGCTGATCACGGACTGAAACTTCCACAAACTGTGAGCTAAATAAACCTTTCCTTCTTTAATTTTGGGCATTGGGCATTTTGTCTCAGCAACAAGAGAAAAGTAACCAAGACATCCCAGTACCAATGAGGTGGTCACTGTTGGGCTCACCGTCACCATTCGACAGCAGAAACCCAGGGGACAGATAGCACAGGGGTCTGGAGTCCCACAGACTAGAGCTGGGATCTAGGCTCAGTCTTTCACCAGCTGCACGACCTTGGGTAAAAGGGTTGACTTCGCTGCCTCGGTTTCCCCATTTGCAAACTGAGGCAATGATCACAGTATCACTCATCACACAGTGGTTAGATTATTCGAGACAATGCAGTTGCTGTGAACACAAGCGCTCCAAGGGCGACGGCCCCTCCTCTCTGTGCTCTGCTCTTCCCCACGTGCCCAGAGTGCTTGGCACACAGTGGATGCTAAGTGCAAATAGAATTAAACACATGAGATCTCTGCAAATGACGCCTGCTGCTACTTCCGTTCATTGCCGATGATCTGCCGAGGTGACCTGTCCCTGCGCACGGGGAACAGCCTTTTGTCAGCTGTGTGTGAGGACTTGGAAGGACTCCACTTCCACCTCAGCTGACTCGTGGGACCAGGGATGCAGGGCTGTCGGGAGAGGCGGCTCTTCTCCAGGCCCGGGGCTTCACCCATCTGTGTGCCCCTGTGACCCTCCCAAATGAAAAAGTGGAAACCTGGGCTGGGGGAAAGGCACACATCCCTGAGGAGCAGGGAGCCCCGCTTCTGGGACGTGTCCTGCTGTGCCGCAGCTCCTCCAGCCCACCCTCCAGCTGCAGCCGTGCAGTGGGCCCCGGTGCTTGTGCCCAGGGCGGCCAGTGACACGTGGGCCTTCCGGGGCTGCAGTGAGACACAGGCTGCTGGCCAGGCTGCCCAGAGAGGCCAGGGTGGTCTCAGGTCCACCACCTGAGGCCAGTAAGTGGGCTGCAGCCTCACCCTGCCAGACCCAAGGACCACGGACTCACCCTGTGAGACCCAAGGACCACCCGCTGCGTCTGGACCTCCTACAAGGTCCCATGGCCACCACCACCTGCACCTAGAGCTCCCTAAAAAGCCAGCGGGGGAGGGGAACCTGAGCTTCAGGCCCTGTGGTAGTGTGGCTGGGACCCAAGCAGGGAGGGGAAGAAGGGGCCTGAGTGCGCGTTCAGGATTCGCCTGTGGAAATGTAAAAATAAGGCTTCTTGTGACTCATAGATAAGCAGTTTCAACAGGTTTGAGATTGCCAGGAAAGGAGGAAGCGCCAGAAGGGCCAGAGCATTATCTTCTGTCCTTGGAAGAAAGAACATCTGGTGTTGACACAGCTCTCTCCCCCTCCCCTTGCCCATGAGCATAAAATTTCCGCATTCCTGCACACTATACATCATAGAGGCCCAATAAGTGTAAAAAAAACTATATGTATTAACCAATGCCATCTGCTTCTGTAATGACGCTTGCAAGCCCCCCTCCTTTGTGGTTTTTCGGGTTAAAAGGCCGGAACTGACCTGGCTCGGGGCTCTCTGTTCCTGCGAGCTCAGTGAGCCCCATGCATGCTTGGTGAATAAAATCCCCTTGCTTTTTGCGTGAGAGAACGACTCTTTGAGTCTTCCTTCATGCGGTGAGTGTCTCGACCCTAACACGCCCTGACACACCCGCTCTGTGTGCTTGTAGGCTGCTGTGAAGTTCAGCTCCTGCTAGGCGCCTCTCAGCCAGCAGTGAAGAATCGTTTGGTTCTAGCTATTCTCGGTGTGGACCTCACCCTGCACTGCGGAGCTCCAAACTGACTCAAGTTCCATCCAGCTGTGGAAGAGGCTTGGTACCGTGGCTGTCACCATGGAAACCTATAGTGAGGCAGGGAAGATGACCAGAGTCTTTGAACACCTTAATTTCCTCCCCCTACTCACCCTTCAAAACCCATTCCTCCCGAAGGCACCTCCATAAGTCTTATCCTGACTGAGGCAGATGGGCTGGTTATTCACTACAGGGCCCTACACAGAAAAGAAAAACTATCACCCCCAACACTGAGCAGACATAAGAGGTGTGATTAAAAAATAAGGTAGCCGTGCATGGTGGTGTACGCCTGTAATCGCAGCTCTCAGGAGGCTGAGGCAGGAGGATCGCTGCGAGTTCAAGGCCAGCCTGGGCTACAAAGTGAGCTCAAGGCCAGCCTGAACTGCATAGCAAGACCTTGTCTCAAAAAGACAAAGATAAAATTTTAAAAAAAATAAAGTAAATGTATAAATAAAAAGTTATTACAGTAAAAGATACATTGCCATTACTTCCCCTCAAATATCGCACCTTGCTTCAAAATAACTTATCCCATCATTCTTTCCACTTTCTGAAGCAGCTCTGGAAGTCCTCTTTTGGGAGTGTCATTGGTTGTGCTGTCGTGGCTGCCTCAATGTCCTGAATTCATCCCAAACGCTGACCTTTCGTGGTCATTTTATCTTTGGGGAACAGCCAGAAGTCACATGGTGCCAGAGCCAGTGAATAAGGTAGGTGAGGACACGCCATCATGTTTTTATGAACGTGCCTTTCTGTTGGATGGCACTCAGCAGCAGCACTCACTGGAGTTTTGTTCACACCTTGTAGAGACACTGAGGAAAGAGGACTTCCAGAACTGCTTCAGAAAGCAGCAAGAACAATGGGATGAGTGTGTTCAAAGAGGGAGATTAATAGCAATGTGGGGGCTGGGGACTTAGCTCAGCGGCACAGCACCTGCCTGGCAAGCATGAGGTCATGAGTTCGATTCCTGGTACCAGAAATATACAAAAAAAAAAAAAAAAGAAAAAAGCAATGTGTCTTCTACTGCAATAAATTTTTCTTTCTTTCTCTCTTTCTTTCTTTCTTTTTTTTTTTTCTTTGTCTTTTTGAGACAGGGTCTTGCAATGCAGTTCAGGCCTGAGCTCACTTTGCAGCCCAGGCTGGTCTTGAACTCACAATAATCCTCCTGCCTCAGCCTCCCGAGTGCTGGGATTACAGGCGTGCACCACTGCAATAAATTTTTAAAATTTGAACATTTGCTGCCCGTGGTGGTGCACATCTGTAATCCCAGCACTTGGGAGGCTGAGGCAGGAGGATCATTGCAAGTTCGAGACCAGCCTGGGCTACAAAGTGAGCTCAAGGCCAGCTTGAACTGCATAGTGAGACCCTGTCTCAAAAAAAGACAAAAAAAGAGAAAAAAAAATTAAAACTTGAACATTTGCCATATATTTCTATCACACCTCCTAGCCATCCCCCCTTCAGTTTGGGAAGGAAAAATGATCCCACTGGACCACTCCTACTAGTGAGCAGGATCTCTGGACTGTGAGGGGCACTCGCTGCAGAGCCCGGAAGGAGATGGCATGATTCGGGCTTGTGCTGGAGCTGGGGAAGCAGAGGCTCACGGCTGCTGCCTGACCCCAGGGTCCTGCTGTCTGTGGTCGCCTCGTTCACCCAGCCCTCGGGACACCAGGGGCCAGGATGGGTTTGGGACTGCCGACCCTCTGGTCAGACACAACTGTGGGACACTTCGTTTCTAGGCCCCTGACCCTTGTGTCATTGCTGGAGCCTCAGGTCCCCCTGCACCAGGCTCCCCATTTCAGCAAACAGCACTTCGTTCTGCCCAGCTGCTGGGGACAAAACCTCAGCACTGTCTCCCTTGCCCTTTGCTCCCTCCCCATAGCCAGCTCGCCAGCAAACACCGCAGCTCTGGTGTCTGGACACTTGCTGGGCTACCATCTCTGCTGGCCGGTCACCTGCAGGAAGGGGCCGCCTGCTCCTCGCACTGCTGTCCTGGCTGGCACTACCTGCTGCCCAGGGCTTCTTCCAGTCCCTGGGCAACAGAAGACCCCATTGCCCTGTCCCCACCCTGGCACTGTCCAGCTCTGCCTTGGGGGCAGCTTGGCCTGCCCACCGCCCGACCTGTGCACAGCTGTGACCTGGCTCCCTGGGGCCCGGCCCAGAGGCGGGAGCCGGTCACTCTCCTCCCCAGCAGCCCAGGCCTCTGCACCAAACATGTACAAAGAAATAGTCTGCATAGTCAGCAGTCGGTGTAAAGCTGCCCTGGGACCTTGACGTTTTCCTTCTGTTTTTGTTTTTGTTTTGGCAAAAGTCCAGAGCTACTCTTTTCTAAGGTCCTGTTTGACCTGCTTTATTTTGCTCCCCATCAGCCTCTATGCAAGAACATGGAAACCTCAACTCTTTTTTTTCTCAACCCTTTTTAAAGGCCCTCTCTCCCGTTTATTCACTCAGCAGCATTTCTGGTGGCTGCAAGCCCTTAGTGGGCCAGAGTTCATCCATCTGCAAGCCGGACCCCCATTCCCGCCTCTGGTTTCCCCTCTGCACAAAGGCGGAGAGCCTGAGGTGGCTGATGGGAGGGATGGGGTGTGGTGGCACGGCTCACCCGGAGGTAGGTAGTGCTCCTGGTGTACACCTGGATCATGCCTTCCCTGAGGAGGCCCTGGCTCCTGCACGCCACGCTGACCACCAGGTCCCTGAGGGTCCATGCCTTGCCCAGGGTCAGCTCCAGCACAGCCTGCAGAGTGGCTGGGTGGGGCCAGGACAATCTGAGCCAAGGACTGTCCAAGTTCATGGCTCCTGTAGGATGAGAAGGAGGGCTTGGCAGGCAGCAAGAGGCCCCAAGGTCTCTTCACAAGCACATCTCCAAGTTGGGAACCCCTGGAATGGAGCATGAGAAACTTTCCCGAGTGACGGCAATGCCGAGGATCTTGAAGGGACCTAGAGTTCACAGGCTCACGCACCTGTCCAAACTCACCCAATGTCACCCTGGAGAGTAGTGCATTTCACTCAAGTCAATAAAACCCATGTGTGTGGGGCAGAATGTGCCGGCCTAGATCTTACTTGGAACAAGAGGAGGGACGTAGAGGTGGACAGATGTGGGAGCAGTGAAGTAGGAAAAATGTGACTGGTAGAGTCCAGCTCAAGAGGCCTTTGGTATCCACTGTGAAATTCTTTGGGCTTTTATCTATGTTTGAAATTTTTTTATAATAAAATGTTGAGGAAAATAAATGCTAATAAGTCAGTGTGGTGGTGCATACCTTTAATCGCAGCACTCTAGGAGGCTGAGGCAGGAGGATTGCAAGTCTAAACCCAGGCTAGACAACTTAGCAACCAACCTGGGCCACCTACCTCTCAAAATATATAAAAAGGGCTGGGGATGTAGCTCAGTGAAAAGGCCCTGGGGCTCAATCCCCAGTACTGCAAGAAAAAAAGAAAGGAAGAGAAAAGGAAAGGCCCACAGGAAGGAATCCCAGGAGCTCCAAGGACAGCTGGGTCCCCAGCTTGCTGCTGACAGCGCAGCCCACCTGTCACCAAGCACCCTACACAAGGCACAGAGCAGAGCCTCCTCCCACACAAGCCTTGGGCAGCCTCCGGCCCCTCCTGTTTCACTCATGTGTATCAAGATGACAACAACCTTATCTCTCTTGATCCATCTCAGCTGGGACCTGGTGTGCTCAGGCCATATAAAACATCTGGCTGGTTATGCTAAATTTTACTAATGGGCTTTAGAGAAAAAACAACTTTCACCGGCAAACTTTTAAAAATCAGCTCCAGAATATTAGATTGCAGACTCTGCTAACATGCTAATTTTCATCAAGTCCCCGAACGAATTCTGAGTACACCCAAAACATAGTTAACCCTGCTTTAAAATAGGGAAACAACATTTCTCAGTAGTTCACTCAAACACACACACACACACACACACACACACACACACACACACACACACGGCGTTTGGGGAAAGACTCCACAAGAAAATACAGAAATAGAAAAAGGAATCTCAAGAGGAAATAGAAGACCTCCATGCAAGTTCTGCAATTTTATATTCTCTGAAAAGAGAAGATAGTGCATTCATAGGAAAGGGCACTATGAATAAGGAGCTTTCAGGAACAAGAAGAGCTTTTGAGAAGGCAAGACAGGCCAGCTGAACACATCAGAAGGGCCAGCAGATGAGGCTAAGGAAGTGAAATAGAACAAAAGGACAAAGAAAGGGAACAAAAGTGAGGAAAGAAAGAAAACTACAGGCTGGGTTTCTGAGGACCAATACGAGTTACAGAACACAGAAAGGAGGAAATTAACAGAGACTGTACAAGAAAATTACCCAACCCCAGCGATGCGCTTCCACATCGGAAAGTCCTAGGCTAAGGGCGCAGTGCAGTGGATGAAAATAGAGTCACAGTGAGAGCCCACTGAGATAAGATTTAATGAAGTAAAGAATTAAAAAAGGGGGCTGGGGATATAGCTCAGTGTCATAAGCACTTTCTTGGCAAGCCCAAGGTTGTGAGTTTGATTCCCGGTACCAAAAAAAAATTTTTAAATTAAAAAATTTTTTAAAATCTCGAAGACTTCTAACACAGCAATAAAAGGACCCCATACAAAAGATGATGGATCATAAGTAGCTTTAGATTTTTCAACTAATTTGAAACAACAGAGTAGCAATCAATGACTTCAAAATCCCAAGGGAAGATTATTTCCAGTCTTGAATTCTCTACCCAACCAAATACTCAGGCAGAATAAAAACATCTCAGACAATCAAGGTCTCAAAATGGTTTTTTGTTTGTTTTTTTGTTTTTTCCCAGTACTGGACGTCGAACTCACAACCTCGTACTTGCCAGGCAGGCGCTCTGCCGCTGAGCTAAACCTCCAGCCCCTAAGGTCTCAAAATGTTTACATTCTTGTATAGGATAAATTACCCCCACACATGCCAAATAGTGTTGAAATCTTAAGCGCTAATACTTCCAAATGTGACCTTACTTGGTTTCAGTCACTGCAGATATAATCAGTGAGGACAAGTTCACACTCGAGTAGGACAGGCCCTTAAATCAGTGTACCTGGTGTCTTTCTGAACAGAAGGAAAACTGGACCCAGACATACACACGGAGGATGGTGTGTGACAACAGAGAGAGACTGTGGTGACAGGTTCAAACCAAGAACACCAAACATTGATGGTCACCTCTAGAAGCCAGGAAGAGGCAGGAAAAGTTGTTTGTTTTTGGAGACAGGTCTCCCACTACGTAGTGCAGGGTGGCCTAGAACTTGTGGCAATCTTCCTGCCTCAGCTTCCCAAGTGCTGGGATTACAGGTGTGCGCCACCACACCCAGCAGCAGGGAAAGTTCTACCAGGCCTCAGAGGAAAAATGGCCCTGATGACTCTTCGGCTTCAGAATTTTAAGCTTCGGGACTGTAAAAATCACTTCTTGTTGCTTTAAGACTTTCAGTTTGTGATCATTTCCTAGCAGCCCTAGGAAACTAATACACCCCTGTGTGCCCTCTCTCTGGAAGCTACTGGAGGATGTGCTCCATCAGCATGAAGGAATTAACCATGAAAGCAGATGTTAAGGGTGCAAAATACAGGGTCTCCTCTGTGGCCCAGAGGAGAAGGGAAAGGAATGCCCAGGCTGGTGGTAAAAGGAGGACCCCAGAAACTCCAGAAGGAGTCGGAGGAAAATGTCATAGTGACTGGAGCAGAGAAATGACC